TCGCGCACAAGAGTTAGTCAATGCATTTCACAAAAGGTTCCCAGAAGCAGTCATCAAGCACAAGAGGCATAGGAGAAAGTGAAAGTGGATCAAGCTTTTTCCCACAGGGTTTTTTAACGCTGATCCAAGGAAAGGGCGCAGAGCAGCAAGAGGGACTTGGGCGCTAAAAGGGGGGATAGTGTAATAACCTGTTATATCCTAGTACAGGGGTATGCTTATAGTGCGGACAGTGCGCGGAGGGTATACTTGTTTTCTCTAATACTAGGTGTACCTCTCCTTCTTCATACTGCAATCTAGTTAGCTACTGGAGTCACTCTCATCATTAGTCACTGCGAGCTCTGTTCATAACAACCTGGTTATAATACACATCCTTCACTGTGAGGACCACATCATAAGGGTGGTGTCCGTCATACACAGTCCGGTCCAGGTGCACAGTTAATGCTGAGCCCTTCTTCCTCTTTTTAGGGGGGGCATTGTAGAGTTTATCGCCCTATTGGTTAAAGTAGGGCTCAACATTGTGGGAAAGGGGCTTGAACGTAAGGACATGCTTACGTAAGGAGCCCCTAAAGAGCCCCTGAGGTCCGACTCACCAAGAATTTGGGTGAGTGCACTCGGGTTGCGTCGGGTATCCCGGGTAATGCCCCAAAACAAAGGGGCTCTGGGTATTTGCCAAAGGGGCGGAGAATAGTGAGATCCGTCAACCAAACTTAACTAAGTCCCAACCTGGACCTAACCACACTGCAAATATAATGTATTTTTCCAAGGTGAAAAATGATTACATTTATTTCACAAAATGATTAAAAATGCATTAATTCTGCATTAATTCTGCATTTTTCTGCATTAATTCTGCATTATTAATCATTTTGTGCATTAATGTCAATCATTTTTCACCTTGGAAAAATACATTATTTTCACAGTGCCACCAACTCCAGGGAGGGACTTATATCTAATGTCCAGAAAACAGCGTGAGATCTGTCGGGGCATTTTTCAAAAAATTGCCAATCCCCTTTCCCACTAATTCCACCAATCAATCACTTTTGGGACTCAAATGAAGATGGAGCACAAGCATCTTATCTATAAATTGCCGCCCTTGGCTTCTCACATGCTCACTCGCTTACAAAGTTGTCTCACAATAAGCATTTGGGGCCAAAGCCAGGTCCAAAGCCGCTGGATGTAATTCACCTGCTGCGCTTCAGAATAATTTTCAGCCAAGGGTGAACCCTTGAGATTAAACAATGGTTGGGTCTTAGCAACCTCCTTAAAGATAATGCATTATCCGCCATACATAACTTCTTCCGGTGAACCGCGCGTTCGTCACAGCTATACGCGCCAAGATACGTCAGTACTCATGACTGGTTCCAACCAGTATGCAAGGAATGGAAAGCTTACGTGAATTTTTTGTATACCGTAAGGGCATCAAATACCACATGTCTTGTTTAGAGATCCAGTTCTTGCATCAAGGTTATTCAAGATGGGCCAAGTGTGGTTCAGTAATAACCCTTCATGGGTATAAAGAGCCGAGGGAAAGGACTGCTTACCTGCGCTTCGATATACTCCGCCCAAAATATACAGCCCGCGCTATAGGAGTATAGCTGCCTTTGCATCCCGTCGAAGAGCAAGCGAATACTGGATCAAGAGGCAGCTTCCTCTCCCCGCCATGGTCGGGGATGAGTGCAGAACTCTTGATCCGTGGGGTCCAAGTAACAGTGCAAGAATTCAAAGAGCGAGATCTGTTGGATAGCCATGAAATGAAGAATGTGATATTTCCTATCTACTAGCGAAGGAGGTTCGAGGTCTGGTCGCCGTGGTGTTGACAAGTCCAGCAAGAAAAGGAACAAGGTAACAGTCATGCCTTCAGCTTGGATGGCACCCAAGATGTTGGATAGAGCAGCGTCTTCCTCTGGATGATGCACATTGGTTGGATCCATCCTGACAGCGAACCGGTAAGTGCAGTACACAAAAGACTACGGCCTAGGAATAAGAGCCAGGTAGTATCTATATACACAGGGGCCAAAATAGATACTCACATACATGTGAGCGTTGTAGACTTTTTGGAATTCTCCAAAAAAGATTCATTTTCTTTCAGATTGATTCAATTCACAATCTTGTTTGTGTTCAGGTGATCATCCTGTGGTTCTCATATTTTACTTGACATTTATTGAGAAGGCTCATTTCCATCTTGGATGAGCAATAACTGATTCCCGATGAGTACTCAGGATCAGCTCATGAGGCACTGAATACTCAGCAATTTGTTCAAAATGAAGATGAGCACATGAACTATACCTTCCTGAGGCTTCATTTTTCAGTGAAGAAGCCTGCCCAGGGGCGTCCCATTTGAGCTGCTCAGCAAATACTCAGTAGCATCCCCTGACTGGATCACTGATGGGCCGGACTTTTCTCAGACTTCCTTGCTAAGGAATGAAGCCTGATAAAAGCGTCATCCCATCTGCTCATTGCTCAGCTAATCCTCAGTGATATCCCCGGATAAAGTTTTTCGCACTGAGGGGCTGAGATCAACTGAGCAGCCCCTCAGCCAATACTCAGTGACATCCTTTGGATCCTTCTGATCCGGCCAGGAATGCCCCTGAGGACTAGCTGAGCAGGCCCTCATCCAATGAGCAGTGAAATCCTCAGGATCCTCCTGATCTCAGGGATGCCTCTGAGGAATAACTGAGCAGCCCCTCATCCAATGAGCAGTGAAATCCTCCGGATCCTCCTGATTTCAGGGATGCCCCTGAGGAATAACTGAGCAGCTCAGTTGAACGAGCAGACGGGCCTCAGGCTTCATTCCGGAGCCATGAAGCTTGAGGCAAGCTTGGCGCTCTGTGATCCATCTGGGGGATACTTCAGAGACTTAGCTAAGGGAATACTCAGTTCAGCTCAGCCCCTAAGCTATACATTGGTGGCATCCCTTGGAGCTTACTGAACCAGGGAATGCCGCTCAGGATCAGCTGAGCAGATGGATCAGCCCTTCCTCAGACTTCTTTGCTCAGGAATAAATGCTGAGGAAGGCTTAGTTTGTCTGCTCAGTTCCTGATGATCACGTAATCAGCTGACAAACAGAAAGAAAAGGGAAACAAAAGGGAAACAAATGGGAAACAAATGGGAAACAAATGGGAAACAAATTGGAAACAAATGGGAAACAAATGGGAACAAAACAGGAAAATTTCAACGCTCACATAGTTGTGAGCATCAATTTTTGCCCCTGTGATATATGATAATCAGTCCGAACCCTTGGCAATATTATTTGAATGGCAAGAATATTTGAAGCTGATCTCCTTTTAATTGGACCTGGACCTGATACAAAGGAGTATAGCTCGTTCCGGATAATACAGACATCAAATGGCATACTTAGACTCTACTCCGGGGAGCCGCTCCAATGTACATGAAACCTCTGCCCTCACTACAACATTGGGCTAACACAATTCGGACGTGTGGAACCGGGGACAGCAGCTGGCAGCATGTCATGTCTCACTTGTAGCGCAACCAAGTCCTCAGTTGGTCAAGTGAGTGAGCAGGAACCCTTCATAGTGGTCCACACGTTGGGTTGTGACTGTCCCAATCCATCCTTCAAAGAATGGGCGTGTACGAAACATACCGGGCAATGGGGAGAGATGATAGACTAAAGACATTCTGTCTGGATATTGTTTCACCAGGAGCAACTATTCCGTGCAATCCATTGCGCCCCACGGTGCCCACCTTATTCTAACGGTAGTTGACTTGTAAGAGGGTAGGTGATCACACTCTTCACAGCTAATGTGCTTGTGTTTGTATCATATTATATTGGCTAACTAAGCATAAACACGGGCAAGCCCGGTTTCTCAAAGCCTAAGAGTGGTTACAAAGGTAATCAGAGCGTTCCAAAGGCCTTCATTGATCAAACTGGATCCTCCCTCAACGGGAGTTGTGAGTAACTCCGAATTTGTTTTGCCATACCCTGAAAGACTCGAGCGCGCTTGAAAATCATGGCGGCCACTGTTCCTATGATGGTGCAAAATTGTTCAAAAATATGTGAATTAATGACCAAGCTGGACTCATCACCCAAGGAGGTCATGGTCACATTCTTGTCTTCCACTCACCCAGAAATGGTATTCCGTAAACGACTGATGAAAGCCGGACTAGGTGCAAAGACCACGCGATCCATCGTGAACAACCTGGGCAAATTGGCTTGTTCGAGTTCCCAAGGCCAAAATGATTGGGAACAGCTGGTTTTAGAGGAATTCAGTATTTAGGATAGGTCACATACCTCCGGACTGAGGCTCACCTGCGCACTCTTGGAATGCATATTTTGGGGCAGGCGTCCGAAATTGTGATTTGTCAGGAAATAATCCGTGGCCATTATCCCAGTGGAACATATGTCAGCTCGCATCAAATCACCCCCGACTTCTTCAGTGAGGGTGCCGAACGTCTTCGTGAAGAACAAATCACTTCGGGGATGAGCTTTCTACACACACTCATTCACCAAAAGCTGGCTGCAGGAATGAAGAAAGTGGACACCGAGGCATATGACAATGACAAAGGGGGCCAAGACGCGGTGAACGTGCTAGAAACAAAGAGAGCAACACCGTCTGACCGTGACAATCCAAATGAGATCCTCGGAACTGTAGACAATGCGTCAATGCTATCACTCAAAAATCTGGTGTATTTCAAACCAACGCCCACTGAGAAGGCAGCTCACAAACTTGCCACGGTCAGTCTCCTCCATTATCAGAGAGCCTCGTGCCTGGCAGGCACCATATGCTGACCTTGCTTGGGGCCGCACAGTTTCCCGTGACCATTTTTGCGATGATTGCAAATGTGTGTAACCGCCGCTGTAATGCTATGGCGCTTGCCAACGGTTTGATGACCTTAGCTGGAGGTGTTACTTGCCGCGTGAACAAATGGCTGCAGGCCTGCAGCATCTCCACCTCGAGGCCTTTGATTCTAAACGCTTTAGACCATCTGCGATTGCTGCAAGAGGAATGTATGATGGAATTGTTCAAAGCAAATCATAAATTGATGCCTTTGTTGGTCTATGACAACATAGACATACAATTGCAAATCCATAATACTCAAATAGAAACCTTGTCGCGCCTTTTCCATGGTACCTGGGGGTTTTATTTTGTCATCCGCTCGTGTTTACAGGCCAAATGTTCCGAGGAGGCAGCCAGTCTTCCTGGTTTCCAGGATGCGATGGCCCAGGCCAATCGACGAGGTGTCAACTTATCTTCTTCCACTCCATCGCCTATAGAATGTAGCTGTTGGACTGAATCCAAACACAAAACAATCTTAGTATAAGTAAGATGAAAAGACAATGAAACAAATCTTATAATAAGATTGTTAGAAGATGCAGTCAGATCAATCTTTATTACCTGAATCCAAACACAAAACAATCTTAGTATAAGTGAGATGAAAAGACAATGAAACAAATCTTGAAATAAAATTGTTAGAAGATGCAGTCAGATGAGGAAAAAGGGAAACATCAGACTGTTGTGTGATCAGGTTATAAAGAGAAAACGAAAATCAAATCATAGTATGACATCATAGAGTTGGTGACGTATCATTCTGTATTTGGAATACATGATGTGATATAGACAAATGAAAATACAAAAAGGTAACAAAAGATGATGTAAGACAATGATTAAGTCATGTAATGACATCAATGAAAAAGACTTCGAAAGCAAACACATAAGTCAATCCAACAGTAGCCAATGGAAGTTAGTAATTAAGGCCCAGCTAGGAAGGGCTTTGAAAGATTACCTCGAACATATCCCGGGTACTTCTGATAACTCCAAGTTGGCACCGGTACTGACCAAACCACCTCCAAACGATTCAATCACCGTTCACCAGCCCAACATCCATTTCTTGAGGATGATGGACGCACCCGACTCCTCGGCGGAGGGGGTGTCTTGAGTGCTTGACGCAGTCCGTGAACAGATAGGACTTGATTCGGACACGTATGCCAAAAAACTCTTGATTGCTGGGGGGGACGTGGGGTCAAACCAATTGCTGGAAAGTCTCCAAGTGAAGCGTTTTCCTCCTGTGAAAGGAGTCGAAGGCTTGGATTGGATACTTTCAGTCTTTGGGGGCGCCCACACTACATGGAATGTTGCCAAGGCCATATGGACTCTCCATTGGGGCGATTCGGATGTAAGTGATGACCCTGGCGCCTGGAGGTCATCGTTTGCCATCGGTGGGGAATACAAGAAGCCTGCAAATGCTCAAAGCTTCAATTCAATCATGTGTTTGTTGCATATGGTTCACCAAGCGAACCTAGTCTTTGCAATCACGTTGGTACCAGTCATCGTTTTGCCAAATCCTGAAATGACCCAACAATGAGTTCCTTCGGGCAAGCAGCGAGGTGATGAGCGCATGCAACAACTTGGACCTGACCAAAATGACTGACTGTGAACGACTTTTTGAAAAAGTGTGGGATCAATTTTTTGCTGCCTCGGCGATAGAGAGTGTACGGAATGCGAGAGGTGTCAAGGTGACAATGCAAAAATCAAAAAACAAAAATCACAATCCCCGGGTGCGAAATTCAAAATTCAAAGACAAAACTACAGAAAATACTCAAAAACAGGGATAAAACCCCTGTACTGGAGTAAAAGTCATGGCAGAAACCCCTTTCAGACCAGGTTACGGCCCAAATTTCAGTAGATTTACAACTTGAAACTCGACATTTGTCACCCCATTGTCGCATTGACACAAAAAGTACCAGGAAACCACAAAAGAGGACATCACAAATCAAACATCAAAAAATCAAAAGTCAAAAATCGAAAAACAAATGTCAAAAATCAAAAAACAAATGTCGATAATCAAAAAATGACAATTAACAAACCATAAACAAAGACCCCAAAGATGAAAACTTCACATTAGATCATCAAAAGTGTACAAACCACCTCTCTACCTCTCCACCTCTCAACCAATCACACAACCCACACACCATCACCAATCATCTTAGTCATTCCTCCAACTTTTGTCATAGTCTCCACCCATCCACTTGTTCAACCAAACCTACACTACACTGAAGTTCTTTGATCGTCTCCACTCTTCATCCTAATTTGATTTCCTTCACTCTTCTTCATCCTTCTTTGACCCTCTTCACTCTTCTTCATACTTCTGTGATTGTCTTCACTCTTCTTCATACTTCTGTGATTGTCTTCAATCTTCTTCATCCTTCTTTGATTGTCTTCAATCTTCTTTGATTGTCTTCAATCTTCTTCAATCTTCTTCAATCTTCTTGAATCGGTTTCAATCTTCTTCAATCTTCTTCAATATTCTTGAATCGGTTTCAATCTTCTTCAATCTTCTTCAATCGGTTTCATTGTTCTGCAATCTTCTTCATCACCATCATGAACCGTCCTACTTGTCCCTTATGTCAAAGTACTCTCCGTCAAGGCGAACACAAAATATGTGGACCCTGCCTTGAAAAAATCAATGCGGACCAAAACAAAAAGGTTCCTTCTCCCCCCAGCAGGCACCCACCCAAGCTTCTCAACCCCGCCCTGCCAGTCTCAAGGCCATCAATGCCAAAGCAGCTGTTGCAGCCCGTACCTCAACTTCCACTGGTACTCATGTCCACCAACTTCAAAGCGACAAGTCAACGCAATCTGCTGCCAAGAAACAAGCTAGCAGCAACTGCATGTTTAATGGTCACCCAGCAGCATCTAAACCTCCACCTTTCACTACTCACACTGGCCAAGTGTGCTCTGTAGGATGGATGTTGATATACAAAACCGGCTCTTTTGCTCATGGTCTACTTCGGGGAACTTTCACTGTGGATAGGTCATCGTTGACACTCTTGGACAACACTAAGGAAGGCATCTCGGTTGACTCTCCTCTTTACCCTCAGGCACCCAAAGTTTACAACTCTGAGTATTTCAACCTGGCCAAAACCGGCTGTGGCCGGAAAGCACCCGTGTTCTTACATAACAATGAAGTTTTTGCCAGATATCTTGATGACACTAAAGGAGAACCTAGCCTTGAGCTGATTTTTCTGGCTGACAAATATGTAAAAAATAATCCTTGGCTTCAACCTTCCACCCGTAAGCCGGTACAACCTCAACGACAAGCTAAAAGAAAGGCATCTCAACATTTGACTGATGAGGAGATGTTATTAGCTGATGGAGATGAAGAAGCGAATTATGGTGATAGTGATAGTGAGAGTGATGGTCATCTGCCTTTGAGTGTCAAAATATTCCAGCCAAGCAAGAAGGCCAGGTGTACACCTTCAACTTCAACAAAAGTCACCTCACCACGAGTCACTCAAAAGAAGGCTTCTAATTTTGAAACCAAGAATAGTACATACACACTCCCGCCACCCATCACCCCACGAAAATATCTCCATGCTCAGAGTGATGTAGCTCCTGTAGCTATGACTCATGTGATACCACCTCACCAGACAGGTAAGCTCACCGCTCTTGTTCACTACTCATTTTTGGTCTGGCTGACATGCCCTCCTTAGTCCCGGCCTGTGATTTCAGAGAGGCTATTGATATCTCTGTATTTGGACAAAAGCTTCCCATGGCTTGCCCTGTTCCACTTGCTGAGACTTCAGACGGTTTCACCGTTGGGAAAAATGCATTTTGACAGGAAATGCAGAAGGTAAACCTGAATGGGTGGTAACACGGTATCAGATCAAAGTTGATGAAAGTGTGGTGATTGGAAAAGGTTCTTTCAGGACATGTTACAATGCCTTTGGAAGAGCACCTGGTGGTGAGGTCACTCCGATGGTTGCCAAAAAGCGGAGGGAGCTGCCTCCCAATATGACTCATCTGGCTGTCCATAAAGAATCCGGTGGAGTGTATGCTGCTGTTTCCATGGTGATTGCAAAGTTTAAGAAAGCTGCTTTGGGTCTGAATGAAATTCAACTTTTCCCTGCAACGGTTGAAGCTATCCAAAACATTCGTGTGAGTCAAATATATGGATCTGATATTATTCAAGCTTTCTTGATAACATGTTTTTATTTTCCAGATGGTTCAAAACTTTCCAGTCTATGCAGGAAGCAGTGCTACGACAGAATGTGCTTATTTCTTTGAAGAAGTACTTGATGTTACACAATACCGCAAGTATACTAGCAATCACAACTTTGAACTCCGGCCTTCAGACAGTCCTTCAGTCAATGAAGTAATGCAAGCTCTCATTCATTGGTCTCATAAACACTATGACGGAAGAAGAATGGTTGCGGATCTTCAGGGAGTAGGTTTGGTATTGACAGACCCTTTGATTGTGGATACAAGCAAGTAAGTACTTTTGTGCTTGCATTCCAGCATTTTGCCTGACGGTTTGTTTTGGCCCCGGTATGGCTTGGTGCGACGGAAATACTGGAAGGAAAGGCTTGGAGAATTTCTCTACCCAGCACGGATGCAATAAGATATGCAAGCACCTGGGGTTGCTACGGCCAAAGGTAGCAAAATTAAGTGTACGGGAGGAGATGGCACCTCGGTACTTCGGACCCGTACCGAGGAAAACATGTACCGTATCCTTGGAGCAGCTCCGTACACAAGTAGCAGATGCATTTGAGATGACTCAGATGCATCTGAAGCCACCCTCGCAGCGGTACAAGTTCAATCCTCCTTGCTCAACAAGGCTCAGAACTTAAACCCACACTGGAACCACACATACCAAGAGGCCTATTGTTGTGTTTCCACCCAACTGTGCCACATAAAAATGTCATAAACCCCAAAGGGACACAAGGATCACTGCTCACACATACCACACATGGCACACACGTGTGCCACACATTCTCACAGCACTGTGACACAAATGTGACACATTTGCTACTTTGGCCCAAGATACCTGTCTACACTTTGTCTTCATGACATCATACACATCAACCACACACATCTCACACCAACCACACACACCTCTCACAACATCTATACACAACTGCAC